GGTTTCAGGTTTATTTTTCTAGGGTGAAAAATCTCGTCCAATTTGCTCCACATGTTTAGTCAGGAAGGTTTTTGGAGAGTAGATGGTGCGGGTGTACCAAAACTTTGTGAGCTCCAGCCTCCTCGGGGCCCGCGCGTTACCCGGGACCGCCCGGATCAGCTGCAAAAAGACCCCCGAAGGTGCCGGGTGAGGACCCCGCTCTAAGTCATCGCCAAAGACCGGTTGCTCGCCCAAGGTGCCGGGCCATAATCTGCCTTTTCACATCACCTGGCAGCCTCTCTGCCCAATTTCAATCTGTGGTCATGTGAAGGGAAGCACCTCCTCTGCTCACCCATTTCTTAAAATTGTTCTGGGCATCCTTTAGCAAGTTAAACTCCGCTTAGCAGCCTGTTGCTGAAGCTTTTCAGAGGCGTTGGTACCTAACCCGGCAGGACGGTGTTTGATGAGCTCTGCTGGGACGAGCAGTGCTGGAGCCAGGGGTACGCACAGGGTGGGAAGCTGCTGGACCGTGTCATTAAGAATCACTGCACGTGAAATAAACAATCAGGTGTCTCTTTATTTTTGCTTTGCTTTTCTTCTTTTTTTTTTTTTTTCCCCTTCCATCCTGGTTTAGGTTTAATTAAGAATTCCTCAGTTACAACTCTGTAGTTGTCAAGGTCTGAGAGACTCTTGGAAAACTTGTGTTTCAGTCTTGCTGGCCCAAGCATAATAAAAAAAAAAAATACCCAGCCTGAATCGAATTTTTATGCTCAGTTCACGGTAGATTTCACTCCATTCTCATGTAAACAGCTTCTACGAATCAACATATGTGTCTGGGTGGTATCTCTCACTTTGTTTTGTAACAAAAAGCCATATTGCATCATTTAATTTGCTCAAGTCATGCAAATAGGAAAAAATCAATAGGACAAAAAGGGGTCGACTTATCCTCCTCCCCACTAAACTGCTGCCCACACACAGAGTCCTGTTGCTTATGGCAAAAGAATAACAACAACACCATTGTGTTTGTTAGTTGGTTCACTAATGGGTGAAACTGGAGAACATCATTCTCCTTCAGTCCCCAGCTCTGTCCAAATGTTCATGCCTTTTGAGGGAGCATTTGTCCTACCCCCTCTATTCCCAGATGAGTGAGAACTGTCTTACTGCAGGTTTTTCAGCTGCAGATCTCTCTTTATTCATACCATATGCAGCAGCAGTTTGAGATTCAAGGCAGATATATTTCTTCATGTTGTCTAGAGACAGTGTCATTAAGCTCCTGTGTGATAATTGAATTAAACTATAAACTAACCACACACAGATAACCTGAAAGATCTAGCTGGGGGAAAAAAAAAAAAAAAAGAAAAAGAAAAGAAAAGAAGAAAAAAAAAAAAGAAAAGAAAAAAAGAATAAGGACTGGAAAATATGTCCTTAATTCACCCTGTTTGCAATGTCTCGGTGTCATATATGCTACCGAGATTATTCAATGCTTGGAGACCCTTGTAGTAATTGGCTGAATGCAGTAAATTAAAAGTTGAATTTTGGCTAGTTTTAAATCTCCAGGCAGTTGAAGCGTTTATTCTCTTCTCACTATTCCTTCAAAATACCTTTTAATTCCCTTTGGTTTGGTTTGTTTTCTACTAACGATACTGAGAACCTGACATAAATGTGAGGAATTGGCCATATATGCTACACTAGCTATTTCTGAGCTGTTGAACCTGGGTTTTTAAACATGAATTACACTTTTTGAGGAATATTATTTTACAGGAGTTTAAAATCAGACTGGTTTTCACCAAAGATTAACGTTTATGAAACTTGCAGATCTGCTGTATCATATCGATACATGTTCAGAAAAAAATGTCAAAATACATGTCATTTATACTTGACAGGATGAGGTGGTCATTCCATAAAAGACATGGCAAACTCTTATGGAGTACATTGGAATGGAACTTTTCTAAAACCACATTTTTTAACCTGAGTTCTACTACAGTTCCAAAACCAGCTACTTTAAAACCCCATCATATATCTACACAACGGAGTGGCTATGACATTAACAGAAATCTGAACGCTAGCTTTTTTTTTTAAAAAAAAAAAAGAAAGAAAAAGAATTGAGCATGCTCAGTAGACATTTTCATAAGTGCTTCTTGGTTAAGACGCCGGGTCTTTGAGAATTTTTGACCAAATTATTGATCTGTGCTTATAATGAAAACGCTACCATTGCCTGCGGCTTGGGGAACAAAAATGGAGCTACAACTCTGCACTGGCTCCAGTAAGTTTTTTGCATCCTGTTGTTGACATTTAACTCTTTGCTGTCTAGTTTTCTGCGATATCGCCTTGTTTATGAAGGGTTACTTGTCAAACATTGTAATATCAGTTTTTCTAAAAGCTTGCTTACAGCCTGACAGGCAAAGAAGCCCTCTCTACCTTGGATGGTTTCACAGCCAAGGCTGTCAAGGAATGGGTGAAAAGTAATTGTTTTCAAGTGTGCCCTTTTACAATCATTTGTTTGCTCTGGCTCTTTCACGAACAAAGGCTATTGTTGAACACATCCAACTAAACAAATAACTCATCTTGGGGTCCCTTTAACAGCTGCCTTAGTACAATGATCTATTTACATATTACCCTAAAATTGAAACCGAACTCTTTAATGACATAATCCAGCACTATAATACAGAAGAAGCATATGTTCAACCCAACAGCTGAACAATCTCATAAGCGTATGATTTTGAGGCATAAATGCTTGTATCTCAAATACGGCTTAATGCGATGACTTATTTCACTGGGTTTTTTCTGTCGACATCAAAATTATACTGCCTTTCTCAAACTAGATATGACAGAGTACACAAAACAGATGACAATATTCAACGTAAAGAATTCCTGTCTATTGTGTCGTCTTCTGTTTCTTCTTCTTCGCACTATTCTTTTTGTTGATAAACCAATTTAGTATGCTACGCTTTCCTGTGCATTCCAGGATTTATCTTACCTTTAGTCTACTCGTTTTACTTTCATGTGGCTAGAGATTAAAGGATGATCTTACAGATGTTGTAAATTAGTCAGCAGCAGGCATAATCATTATTAGGCATGTTGCAATAAATGTTTGGAAGTTTTACATATTTTCCAGAGCACAGTTAGTTTAAACCACCGCAGTTTGATGGTTTCACATACGACTTTAAAAATTGAAGCAGGAAATTAGTTTACATTTCGTCAAAAGACTAAAGCCATTGTCAACTTTAAGGTCATTTTCAAAGTAGAGATCCAACAGAAGAAGGTTCATTCAAATAAGTATTTCAGCTTTCACTTAAAACTGGTTTGATATACTCCAGGATAAATACATTATCGATTTACTGAAATTCGGAATGGAACAGTTGTCCTATCTCCTAGCCAGGACAGAGTTATACATCAGACCTCACACGGAGCAAATGTTCCCACCCTATTTTGCTTGAGCATTCTAGAAGTTAAATAACATTGTACTTGATTTTCAGATAATTGATTGACTCTCATTCCTTAATCTTCCGATTAGCTATTATATGACCAAGATTCATTCCAGAAATTACACGAGGGGGTGAATTCCTGTGGTTAATTCCTGGATAGCAGCTGCTCAGGGGGATTAGGATCCTTTTGTCTTAACTTTGAGGACTGAAATGTTGGCAAGCATTACTTCTCCTGTATCACCAGGCAACGTCAATTACATTTTCCACAAGAAACAGTAAATGAGCTTTGCTATCCTGTAATTTTTTTCTTTTTTCCCTCTGTTCACAATACATTCTGGAGTCTTCCAGTAGAAGTACAGTTTTCTGTCTGCATCACTGTGGAGTTAATTCAATAAACACACTGAATATTGACCTAGTAATACCTCACGTTTACTTGTACTTCTAAACACACCATCCTACTGCTACCACAAGAAAGCCTGCTGCCTGAGATCAACCCCCTGATGAAAACATCTGAGACTTTTGCAAAGCAGGTGATACAACTGGATGTAGGCAAGTACTTGGAAGAATCTGTAGTCATGGTGCGCTTTCCTTTGGTCGAAACACCAAAATAGGTCATTTCATCCTTACTTTAGCTTACTCCCAGCTTCTGGGTAACATAATGTTCCTAAAAAGGAGCATTTATGGATAGTGCTTTTGATCATCCCCTATTGGCTTCAGACTTTGTTCTATTTGGCAGACAATGACTTGACTGAATTATACAGGCCGCTTCCCATCAGACCCGCAGCAACGCAAAGTACCGAGGTCAGGATGCCATCATCCCTTAAGAAAGTCCAGCTAATGCAGAAGATAGCCTCAGCAGTGTGATTTACTGCAAGCACATGAAGTCTGTTCTCTACTACCTGGATTGCCATTCTAGGCAGTATTAAGTCAAGTTCAAAGTTTTAGTTATTATGTATTTTGGTTATAGTTTATTGTAGTTATCATTACATTTTTAGTTCTTGTATTCAAGGCATTTTTTTCCCCAGATCTACCATATCTAGAACAACATCTGAAACTCAAGAAAGAAGACTAAGGTTAACAGTTCTGCTGCTATGGCTCAAATGAGCAATCTAGCAAAAAGAAGCTAAACTTTTTCAGGAGAGAAGGAGCTGGGGCTGCGGAAGGAATTTCCCAAAGAACTCAGGGCCAATGCAAAACTGTTGCCATACATGCAACATGCAATTAATTGATTACTGTCTTCAAGGTTAAAAAAAAAAAAAAAAAGACAACAAATCCTTTCCAAAAGAAGATGTGAGACAATTATATTTCCAAGAAGGGTCTGAAGAGAGCTAATAAACCATACGTGGCAGATATTAGTCCCATTACTTAATTGCAGGTGCTACGAAGCCGACGATAGTCTGAGAACATATTCTAAAGAACAGAACATTTAATGCATTTAATGATCCTGGCAAATCTGGAGGAATTCTTTTTGAAGCCAATGGCAGCTCTTCCAGAATAAGGGTAGACGCCAAATAGTGTTCTTCCAATCAGTGGTCCGACTTATGCCACTAAACTTTAGTACACATTTCAGATGGCCTTTTGAGAATATATGTATGGTAAGACTAAATTTTCCTGGAAAGAGTCTAAATTAAGGTTCCTTTTAGTAGGATTTTGTGTAGCTGTACAGCCCATATATTGTGTAATATTTTGAATATGTATCTGTTTAAAACAATGGAGAGTGCATTTCTCTCAAGTGTTTGAGGTTTATGTAATTATGATCTGTAAATAAAATGCTGAGTTCAGAACTGTGTTATCAAAGTCCTGCATTTTAGAAGACAGCCGACCTATGAGAGAGCATACTCAAACATATCAAGAGTCTTCATGCATTGAATAACTTATTTTATCAAAAATAACTTAGATAATTCCCTTCGATGTTATGTGCAAGGGAACGACATTGGAAAGTCCTTCTACAAATCAACTCAGAGATATGAACTGTAGCAAAACTGTGTCAGTATTTTCAAATGTGCTATTTACAAATATTTCCAAATTTTACAGAATACAAGTATTTACCGCATTAATATTTCTTAATATAAGTGTCTTACAGTCTTTGTTTATAACCGTGTTAAACAAATAGCAGAAATAACCTGAGCTTTGTTTTTGCATTGGATCAGATTCAGGCCCTCTCAACCGAGAACACATTTCCCACTACCCACCATTGGGATGAATGATCAAAACACAATCCATGTGGTTAACAATAGATTAACAAAGTGTACTGCATTCAAAGACTAATAAAGACAACTATGCTGTTTTCCATTATTTTTCACGATTTGATGACATTGCGCTCCTTAGGCTCCTGTGTTTACTTAAACACATCATCAGTCGTGGTTTTGCGCTGCTTCAAGTACTATGCATAATACATGCTCATTTTTCAGGACAAAGTTTCGGTATTGAGGCAAACAAGATGTTACGAACAAATTCTACTTTTTCACTTATAAAAAGAAATGTCTGAAAACGTACAGCTTTTCCCACCTCCAAGTAGTTCGCATTAGAGGGAGCAAAAAGCAGAGCAGCATTTAAAGCATGACAAATCCAAGGCACCTGCTGATCGCCACAGCAGTCATTTCAATAGCCGGACTATGGTATCGTTCAAGATACTTAACAAACACCTAGATATGGTTTTCCTGATGTGTTTTGATGGTAGAATTTTAATTTTTAGTCTCTAAATAGAATCATAGAATCATCAAGTTTGGCAGGGCCCTCTGGAGACCATCCAGTCCAACCCCCCTGCCAAAGCAGGCTCACCTACAGCAGTTGCACAGGAACACGGCCAGCTGGGTTTTGAATATCTCCCCGTGCTGGCCAGCCTCTGCCAGGGCTCGGCCACCCTCACAGTACAGAAGTTCTTCCTCATATTCAGGTGGAACTGCCTGAGTTTCAGTTTGTGCCCATTGCCCCTTAACCTGTCGCTGGGCACCACCCAAAAGAGTCTGGCCCCATCCTCTTGACACCTGCCCTTAAAGTATTTATAAGCATTGATGAGATCCCCTCTCAGCCTGCTCTTCTCCAGGCTGAACAGACCCAGTTCCCCCAGCCTCTCCTCATCAGGGAGATGCTCCAGTCTCCTCATTATCTTCGTTGCCCTCCGCTGGACTCTCTCCAGTAGTTCCTTGTCTGTCTTGAACTGGGGAGACCAGAACTGGACCCAGCACTCCTGATGTGGCCTCACCAGGGCAGAGCTGAGGGGGAGGAGAACCTCCTTTGGCCTGCTGGCCACACTCTTCCTCATGCACCCCCAGGTACCATTGGCCTTCTTGGCCACGAGGGCACCTTGCTGGCTCATGGGCAACTTGTTGTCCACCAGGACTCCCAGGTCCTTCTCATACTTGAATAGGTCACCTTACAAGTTAGGTTTTTAAGTATTTCTCATCAGAGAAGGGGGTAGAAGGCCTGCTGCTGTATCTCCTCCTCATATAAACGATCCCTCTAGCTCAGAGGTTGCCTATGTGATTAAGAGATTGCAGGCATGAGTCCATAACTTGACTACTGTTATTCTTATCTGAGAAAGAGACGCAAGCGCTTAAAAACTCACTGTACTAATGCCATATTGCACATTTCATAGTAAAAATTTTTTGCACTTCCAGAATGGTGACATGAAACATGATGCATTTATACTAACTGTATTGGTTCCGCTAGCATTATTTATCACATTAGATCATGCGGTCTTTTTTTTTGTGTGTGTGTATGTGTGTGAAAGATGGGGAAACAGGTCGTGTGCTTATTTGTCTCTGGTTTGTGGCTTGCAGATACTTTCTGTTACCAACAACACAGAATGTGCGAAGCTACTGGAGGAAATCAAATGTGCACACTGCTCACCTCACGCTCAGAACCTATTCCACTCACCTGAGAAAGGGGCAACACCTGAACGAGAACTAACTCTTCCCTACCTGTGCAAGGACTATTGTAAAGAATTCTATTATACTTGCAGAGGTCACATACCAGGTAAAAGCTATAACAAAATGCGGGGCTAGAGGATGTCTTGTTTTGAAATGTTGATATTGCCTGAGCGGTTATAGATCCAGCTCTTCACTAGGTAAAATCCCCACTGATACCCAGGGGATTTTGCCCAAGCAAAGACAGAATATCTCAGGGCCTTCACAGCAGATCTTATGTAGTGAGGTAAATATTTTGAGCGTTTTCTTGCCACCCTCCTATTAAACTCTCCATGAGACACAGGATTGTTTGCTGTCAAAGGCACCTGAAACTATTACCTTTGCTGAAATATTAGCGTGTTAAATCATGTAAACGAGCAGTTGGCCGTCCAAAAGGCTATTCTAAATGAGAGATAGCTTTAAAATGCAAGAAATAAAGGATGCTGGCTGTTTGCTGTAAACTCTAAAAGCTGATGAGCGAAGTGTTTTTTCTGGTTTTGTTACCCTAGAAACTGATGTTTTTTCCACAGGGTTTAAAGCCCATTGAAATCAAAGGGAGCTATTTGATAGACTTCTGTGATCTCTGAATCACTTCCAACGTGCTGTTAACAACCAAAGTCTTCACTAACCTAACCCTTCCTTGCTGTAGTCAGTTGAGTTAGCTGGACGTAACCAAAACCAGAATTTGACCTGCGTTCTCTAAGGCAGTCACCAAACGTGTGCTATCACTTGCCGCTATATCAACAAGATACCAACAACAACCATGGGAGATGGTTCTTTTAGAAATACTGTCTTAATACACTATGATAATAAATAACATCTTTGGTATTCTCAATAGTAAATTATTTATATGTTTAAGACCGTCATTTTTAAACTATGTGTTTTTGCCTGTCCAAACACTACTTATAAATAATGCCACACAGGAGAAAATAATTAAAGTGGTCAAGATTTTTTTTTTTTTACTAGCAACACAGACTGGAAAAAAAAAGTTGAAAATGATATGAAAAATGAATTTGTGAATAGTCATTTTTGACATATGAACACAGCTTTGTAATACAATACAAACATATTTGGGTAAAGGGGATAGTTTAAGTGGATGAGATTTGGAGGAGGGTTTTTTAATTGCGTGTGTACAGTGTGTACTTGTTTTCTCTGAAATCCCAAGGGTGCAGGGGTTTTTTTCAGCATTCTTTTATTGACTTGAGAAAACATTTTGAATTGACTTACTTTTTCCCTTTAGTGTGGTTTAACATGTATCTCAACCCATTCAAATATGAAAATATTATTATTGTCTTTATAAACTAAGAGATGTTTCTAAGGCTTTCTTAAACCAGCTGTTTCTTGCTCTTTATCACATTCCCCAAAGCAAAGCAGAATAGATCACAGTTGCCAAGAAGCTGAACAGCGATAACAGATTAGATATTCTAAATGTTTGGCCCATATAATAAGTCAGCACAAAGACTTTTTTTGACATGAGTTTGTAGCTCTGCATAGTCTGCGGAGCAAGTCCCTCATAGCTGTTTTGTGAAATTCTGTGTTTCTGAGGAAAAAATTTGTTTAATTGGAAAAAGTGAAAGAGGCAAAAGGGAGAAAGAAGGAGGAGGCGGAGGGAGGGCGAGAGAATGAGAAAGGGCTGAGCAGCACAGGAGCTATAGCCACAGGAACCTCACTCCTCAGATCAACATATGTGGTGACGAATGACAAATTTATTTTTCTACAAAGTTTGTGTATATGTAAAACTGCTGAAGTGCATCAAGATGTCAAGTGCTTTTTGTGACCACCCAGGTTGCCTTGAAAGATAACCAGATGAAAGCATAACTTTAGCACTGGACAGAGCACTGTGCTTTGCAGGGAAAAGAGCTTACATACTTTAGCGTCAGTTGAAATAGGATTTTTCCTACATCAATCAGATGCTAATAATCATTCTAAATACTTGTTCTGAAAGTGGGTTGTACTAACAAAAAGTTGTTGCATACTGACATCCACCAACAGGGTTAATTCGGTGACTCGACTGGTACACACAGTTGTTGATACCTATACTAGGATTTCCTGAAGCTACTAATTACGATTCAGGTCCCTCTTTTTGAGAAGATGGCCTGTAGGATTTTAGTATAGTGTAATAGCCTTACACATTCTAAAATACGTATAATTAAAATAACAACTTATTTGGGTTTTCTATTTTACTTGTGAGACTCATATATCCATAGTAATATTTATTGCAAAAGAAAGAAAAAAATAGAAAATGTGGAAGCTATGTTTTCAGCTTAGCCTGGAGGATTAAACAAAGAGTTGGAAATTAACAGGTCCCCAAACCCAAGGTCTCTGGCAATGATTCACTGTGCATTTGTTAAAAAGTCAAATAATTGCTCTTCCTCCATTAGGGAGTGCTAATTGTTTCTGAACACCAATGCAAAGGAGTTTAAGGAAATTGCTGACTACAAAAGTAATTTTATCCCTTAGGTCCTCCACAACTGAGAAATATTACTAGTGATTTAAGATAGCAAGCATTTTTTCTGGAATTGAAATTTTAGCGGTACGTATTAACCAAGAAGACTGAGAAATTATACATCAGTTTTTTTCACGAGTTAGCTCCAGAAATTCATTTATTGTTCTGTCTGGTTTTGCAAAGAGGAAGGCTCTAGCAGATCGTTGGTTAACTCTTTTGAAGACAGCAGTTTGCCCCCCAGTTATGACTGTATCAGAACGTCCATTGACTTCTTTAGGAATATCCAAAGAAAAAGTGGACCCGATTCTTTATTCAAACAGAACAGTAACAATAGCTGGTAGTCGTTAGTTAGATTGTATGGACACGTTAACACCGGAGGGTGTAATATTTCACAAAGTCTATGAGATTAGAACTTCCCTGCTTTATCTCAGGTGACTGTTCTCATTATTTCTCATCTGATTTTTATTGTAAGCCTCAGTTTAAGTGATTACTGATGGAGACACTGGGGTTAAGAGACTTGATGAAGTATCTTCATTCAATATGAATTTTAAGTTTTGCAAGGTCATAAGAGAAGACCGTCTGATATTTATTATTAATATAGCTAGTAAAGAAAGGCATGGGTGATTCTCCCTTTAGGCATGAGCAGAAACTTGCTCCGTGCCAGTGGAGGTGACATATTCTAAGGAACAAACCTGTGCCACAGCCACGGTGCGTTCTGCCATCCAAGGACATCGGACGGATTTTGAACTATGTTCTCTCCATTATTTTCATTTGAAGAAATGGGTTCCAGATGATTGTGGGTGAATTCAGATCCAGGCCGAGATCTGAATCCAGGCATTACCAGAACAGACACTCGATATGAATTTTTTAATGCCAAACAGGGGCACCCCAGCCCAAAATGCTGGAAATCTAAGAAATTCTGCAACTCACACAACACTTCCAGAAGTTCTAACGTAGTCAAGTAATAGTCACAGTAAACATAGTCAATCTGCCGAAAAATAGTAGTGGCTTACAATGTTGCTACTGCTAACAAGAGCATCAAGGGGATTAACCCTGGCACTGCCTGTGTGCAGGTACGTGCAATGCGTGAGTAAGAGAAGAGGGCCACTAGTCACCTGAAAACCAGAAACCAGTAGGAAATGATGGGAGCTACCACTGAACTTACTACATGTTTGAAACAATCAGTCTTGAATCACCTTTTTGATTTAGTTTTCCCTGAGTTGAGAAGAGAGAAGAGAATGTGGGGTTTGTGAACAAATTTACATCTAGCTGTCAAAAGTGCAAATCAGAAAAAAAAAAAGACAAACCAGGGAACTGTATGCTCACAGTCATAGCAGGAATAAAGCAGGTGAGCCTCATTTGCGGGTGCTCTCCAAGCCAGCGTGGGTCTACTCAGATGAGCGGATGATACTCAATCCTGTGTAGTGCAAACAAGGAAGGGGAGCGAATAAGAACTTATCTTGCTGTAAAGACTGGGACAAATGCTACCACGGCGTTTGAGTTGTATATCAAAGAGAAGAGGCAGGTGGATGGGTAAGCAGGGAATCCAGCGAAGTGGAATTTGGTGAAGGTAGGATAGGAAGAAGATCCAGCGTGAGGAATAACTGACCACAAATACGAATGGAGAGAGGAGGTGAGGATCAGCTGAGAGCGGAAGTTTTCCTTGAAATCACGCCATTTATTCCCACAGTTTTTTATAAAGGTGAACACAGAAAGCCTTCACTGTAACTGCCTTAACTGAGAAGTCTGTAGTTGGACGCTTGTTTGCAAGACAGAAAGTTTTAAAAGCATAGGAACGCAAGCCTGAGCAAAATCTGACATGTACAACACTTACACATTATGTTTACTCTTCCTTTCTGATTTCAGTTTTCTTTGTTAACACAGGCACTGCTCTGTCAACACATACACAGCTGGTAGGACATTTGTGATAATATGTATGAGTCTTTTAAAATAAAGTAGTAAGTTCAGAAATTCACACAGGACCAAACGTTGCAGTCCTTATTAGGCATAGTTCTCATAGAGGACAGTGACAGAGCTGTATTTGAATAAACTCAGACTGAGCAAAATGATCTTTTTCTTTTTTTTTCTGCCAAACAATTCCTTGTGCTTAGGGGCACTTGTCTGGGACCAGTCTTCTGGACACTGTACAAACACGGAGCAAAACGCCAACTGTGCACTCAGGACCTCACGACCTAAGCACGATAACGAAAACATGAAATGGCTACAAGCAGATAGGAGAGTAGAAGCAAATGTTTTTCTAACTGTCTTTAGTGAAGCTGTTAGTATGATGACTCTAGCATATACAACACAAACAGATTTTTATTTTTTGGAAATTACTGTGGTTTTTTATAGAACAAAATTCCATCCCTAACACACAGGTGAAACTGTGTTTACAGAGGTTACATTCCTTCCGGTAGCACAACATTTTAACAATTTACTGCCTGATTTTCGTCGTTTAATTCAAACCCCATTTTTTACAACCATTTCTAAGAAAAATGGAACATAAGCCTTATCCTTTGGTGGAACCTGTTGATGGGTTTGCTAAATAGCAAAAGGCAACTGCAGTGCAACATGTACTTAAGTGCATGATAAAATACTTCATAAGGGATTAGTCTTACATATAAGAAAAGGCATTGTGTAAGGCATTAGTCAAGCAAGTTTGCATCCTATTGTTATTTGAAATGAACGTGTACCAAGTAAGTAAGACGATCATAACAATCTCTCAGTTTTTCTGACTGAAGATAACATTCAAGCCAAGAATAGTTTCTCTTTACTAAGTAGTAGATGGTATACTTGGAAAATTCTAGAAATTCCTAGAAATTGTACACCTCTAATTTGCTATTGCATTTTCTTGAATGACGCACTGTGCCTAGAGAAATAGATTATTCCAAATAATTCAACAGCAAGATTTTACATTACCTTTGATTTTGGCATTGTATCTACAAGCCTTGGAATACTACTCCGTGATTATATCAGGGTTCCTCTTCAGTTATTCCACTTGAAATTATATCTCCCATTTTCTCCAAATAACTACTATAAATTAAAACCAGCTCCTCAGAGATGATATTTGCTGAAGCTCCAAATCATGGTAATTAAACTTTTACACCACAACGCACTACCATGTGTTTCCAGATATTATTTTATAGAAACCAAAGGCAGGCTTTGTCGTGTTATTTTTCCAATATTTTTAAAGGAAGATGCATATGAAAAGAAGTATAGTTGGGTGGGAAAGGCTTTCCACTCCACAAAAATTCTGGGATCTAAAAAATTTTCCTATTCCACATAAGGAAGAAATTGAACTCTTTCGAAATTTTCCATGAAGAAAGCCACAGGGAGACCACCCCAGGATAGCTAATAAAGTCGTTGTTAGGACATTTACTTGGGAAATGGGAGACTTAGGGTCAACCTCTTCCCTGACAGATGAGGGGCATTGACCTGAATATTCCTCTTCCTAATGAAACACCGTAATTACAAGACATTGGAGTATAGCGATAAGAGGTTTGCTGTCTCTTTCTCTCTTTTTTCATTTAGACCAGAAGTTTGAGTTTGGACCAGAAACATCATGTTAGCTAAAATTTTGTCAAAACTGATAATGTTTCTGAAAAAGCTTTGCTTTTAAGAAATTGGCATTTTCCAATGAAACACAGCTGTCCCTGATCAGCTCTTATTGTACGTCGTAAGCCAGAGGTTTTATGGCCAAGACCTATAGATTACTGCATTATTCACAAGTGGTAAAGCCATGCATAAATTAGGCCTCTAATTCCAATTAAGTGCTAATTCTGTGTATCCTATGAGTTATGTCCTGGACCATAGTACATCCTAACACAGTATGCCAATAATGCAAAGAGGAGTGAAGGTAACTTAAGACCTACTATCTTAACAACGTTTTAGTAAAATAGTGCATGTATAACTAGCCAAATTCTATCTTCTTAAATTTAATATTAATGATTAACAACTGGATAGAAATTACTAGAGATAGGTTTGTGGACAGAAATAGGTATTATTGCTGTCATTAAACATAGTGTAATATCAGTAGTGGCAGGCTTTTTCCAGAAAGGCTCTCATTTTACCAACTTGGTGTTTCCCTGGGTCTTTGAACTCCTTCCCATTTTAACCCAAAACCTAAAGACCGCTTTTCATCCAAGCCAGCTTAAAGCCAGCTCCAACGCAGCCTGAGACATATCCTCCTTTTCAGGGGATGGGGGCTGAGGAGGTAGACCTGGCGGTGGGACACTGCGTTCACCCACTCTCATGCTGGGAGTCAACCAGAGGCCAACCGCATGTCAACACGGTGCCGTTTTCAGCAGTACTTCTCCCTTTCTGAGACAACTAATTATTCACCTCTCTGACTGATGTCCTTTGCTGCTGGCATTCCACAAAGTCTTTACTGCATGTCTTTTACCAAAGTCTTTATTGAAATTTTTACTACGACAAGCCATTTAAAACAGAAAAAAAAAAAAAGTTAAATGAAAGCTGCTCGAGCCATTTTACAGCAGATACTACGCTTGATTAATACGGTTAAAATCAGGGAAAAGTGTGTCCCAGCCTCAACTCTGAACCTTCTCTCTTAATTTTTTAATGCTTGAACTGTAGTGTCATTTTGAATGAATTGGTATTTTCATTTAAGCATGCTGAATATAAGGTTTAATACAAATACAGATGCATAAACTCTAAAAGGCAATACTCGGTTTGTATTTACTCAGGGCAGGCCTTTTCTGCAGATAGCACTTTGTTTAAAATGACTTCTTTTTCCACTCAATATATAATCTATTTAAAGATTAGTTTGACGGCACGAAACTGCAGACATGACAACACACTAAATATTTGTATGCTCTTTTGCATTTTTAAGGTTTTCTCCAAACTACAGCTGATGAGTTTTGCTTTTACTATGCAAGAAAAGACGGTGGTGTATGCTTTCCAGATTTTCCAAGAAAACAAGTGCGAGGGCCAGCTTCTAACTCCCTGGACCACATGGAAGAATATGACAAAGAGGAAGAGATCAGCAGGTTCATAAAGATAAATGCTGTTTAATCTGAAAAAAAACCCTAGCAAAGCCTGTGGTTTTCACAGTGAAACAGCTCAGCGTGTGCTTATGCTCAGCAGCTGTGTTTTCCAGATGTTACTTTCTTTTGCTGCTGCTAGTGTTTGTCAAAAGAGAAAGTTACATTAGCTTCAAAATTTCAGCCCCATTTGATATTTGCATTGCTGAAAAGGTGTTAGAATCCTGGTTGGATCCACCCTGTGGATCTTGGTTATGGTCCACCCTGTAGATCACACATAGTTCTAGGAAGTAATTTCTACCTGAATTTAATATTACTAAACGACTACAATAAGTTTATTAGTAAAATATTTTTTTCATTATTTTCTCTCTTTTTCATTCATGCATTTTTCTTTGTGAAAAGAATTACATTGGATTGTCCCATCATAAGTCGTTATTTTTAAATGAGATTTAAAGCCCAAATTTTGTCAAATTGCTGGAATATACTGTGTTTATTGGATGGTAGAAATTTTGTATTTATAAACTGTTCTCTCTTTTTACCAAATTTTTTTCTCTGCTATTCCTCTACATTTCAGATCTAAGATGAATTCATTTTCTCTTTCCTGTATACAAGCCAAATTTGGCTCAAGTAAAGTTCAAATTGTTTTTCAGTATTATCTGCTTACATCCATTCAAGGAAATAATTTATACTGGATTGTATAACTGTGTTTTTAGTATCACTGCAGAACAATCATTTTATCTTTTAGGGATGTGGTTGTGTCATGGTTACGAGAAAGGAGCGATTTCTCACTATTTTTAAATTTTTTTTTAGAAAACACAAGCACAACTGCTTCTGTATTCAGGAGGTTGTGAGTGGACTAAGGCAGCCTGTGGGAGCAGTACATTGTGGGGACGGATCCCATCGCCTCTTTATTCTTGAGAAAGAAGGATATGTGAAGATTTTCAGTCCTGAAGGAGACATACTCAAGGAACCTTTTTTGGATATACACAAGCTTGTTCAAAGTGGAATAAAGGTTGGATTTTATACTTCTCTCTACCTGTTTATATTTTAGCCTGTATATGGGGAACAAGGGAAGAAACGTTTTTCAGAAATTATTTTAATTTAAATAATAAAAAAGAAGAGTAATGACAACAGACACTACAGTTCTGTCTGGCAAAGAAGTGAAAACTTCCTTGTTTCGGGAAGGGAAAGCATAGCAGCTTGTAACTGTCATCGCATTTTTCCCTTTCCCTTCTTTTTTTTTCCTCACTGTAAATTCAGAAGAAACTATCCAACAGCAGCATCCCACAGCATTATCTTTGCATTGTCATCCCTTGGGCTCATTGCCATCCCACTGAATTCAGCTGAGTTTTGCTGTGATTCCAGTGGGAGCAAGTTTGGCTCAGGGCCTCCGGGACCTGGACACAGGAGGGGGCCTGGGGGTGCTCAGGGACCCCCGGGAGAGGGGCAGAGGTGCTCAATCCCTCTGGGCTCAACCTCAAATGTGGCCCCAGCTACCCTGGGTGGGAGGCTGTTTTAAACCGGCATGTATTTGAGATGCGCGTAAAACGTGACTGAGCACTCTAAATTCAGATGGGCGGGCGGGTCGGTCAACAGCTTTCATCCCGTGTAATGGGAAGACTTGCATGGTCGGGGGAGTGAATGGTGAATGGGCACTGATGGGAATACATTGGAGGGTGGAGGTAAGAAATTATATCTAGGTATGGGGTAAGTACTAATAATAAAACTCTCAAGTCTACTTGGGGATATTTGTACTTTGGAAATGTCGTAAGTGTTGTTCCATGTTGATTTCTGCTCACATTTTAGAGTGGTAATGCAAATGAAATCCAGATATATAAAGCAAATTTAAATTGTCATCAGGTTTTGCCTAGAACAGTCAGGACCATATATCATAAAGCCTTCATGGATGAAAGATATATTGACATACTCTTGACAGAGTAATCTTAAATAATAATTGTGATGAACCAGTTCGATTTAAAATGCATAGCACATGCTAACTAATAATTTTGTGTTTCAGCTATAGAGGCAATAAGCCAATTAAGATAGTCCTTTCTGAGAGGAAATCTCAGAGGTTTTTTGGTTTGTGTTGAAAGAGAGAGAGAAATGAAATATATTACACCTTTTTCAGGAAAATAACCAATTTATATGATTCTGTGATTTCCTGAACACTTCCCTTTCCACCTCTGTAGGTAACGATTATGTTCAAGATACCAAAACAAAGGGACTTACCAGGGGTAGTTCTGAACATCAATCTAAGACTGTTTTGTATTTCTTAACCAAAAATTCTGATAGTTTGTGAAAAACTGACACTGAAACTTTCCACAGAACTGCTATCAGTCCCAAACAAACCTTCCTCAAGGAAATTTTTACAGCTGGAACTTAGAGGCAAGGCTAAATGGAAAACTGATTTTTTCATGCATCTGAATAGGCAATAGCCTGCTTGATAAGGCTCTCAATAGCCACCCTCAGAGTCAGACACAACTTTTAGTTCTGTTTTAAATCAGTGACCCAGCCTTTTTAGTCTTTACTACCCTAACCATCATATAATACTCTAAACTGGATCTATTTCAACTATAACATTTTGTGTAAAAATTTTGATGTTCTCTAAGCTAGAAAGTCTAATTCAATTCCCTGAGATAACAGTTCAGTGACTGAGGATAATTGTAGTGCAGCGTTTAATGGAGGCTGGCGAGAACAGAGGCTTCGTGTACTTGACAGGTAAGGATGTGCCTACAAGCCATACTCCAGCTCTTACGTAGGAAGGGGAAAGAATTTGAGGAATGAGTACATTATATAAAATAATAAATGAATAGAATAAAACAAAACCCACATAATCCAAATAGTAGTTTTAAAACAAGGGTTCTTAAGCATTTTTATGTATATCCCTTGCAGTCTGATTCTTATAATCATTGTCCATGGTCCTCTACCCACAAGGATGGAAGATCACTGTGACAACGGTAGCAATTATTCCATCAAAATAGACTGCTTGAAGAGTACTTGATTTTACTTACCTGTTACAGTCTTCAAAACTAGAAATCAGTAATGGAGAATACTATATGAATAGACAATTTCCTAGCAGGCAGTGAAGATAACATACAGCCAGCATTTAAAAAAAACCCCACTATCTAAAACACTGCATCCACATGCAAAGTGTGAGAACCGCTGAATGTGTCCTCTGTGCTTACTCAAGAAATGCTTGTAGCGTCGGGTAGATTAATTTATATGTATACATTTTGCTCGATGTGCCTGATTCTTCTCATATAGTGGTGTAAGTGAAAAAGTAAAATGAAATCAATGAATATTCAGTTGTCCCTGATCAAACTTAGGCCCATATGTTCCAGTGAAGTGTTTTGCCAAGGTAACATGTTGCTTTTTTTGAGTCCTCTGTTCACTTACACAGATTCACAGATGTTAACCCAAATATCTTGTCAATTCCTGTATAACATCATCCATATAATGTTATTCTTGAATTAACATAGAGACTTTTCATTGAAGTAAACAAAAACTGTTCACCTCTTTTCCAACCTTGGAGCAATGGTAGCAAGAAAAGGCAAACAACTCTTTCTTCCTAAAAATAAGTGTAAAAATTTTCCCTCTTATACCAAGTGTCTAAAAATAGCAGTTTCTGTTAATTTTTTTGTCTGTAGCTGAAATATGAACAGATACTTAGCTCTAGTGACAATAGTAAAAATATTTTTTCAAACTTTTATAGATATATATTGTATCCAGTCAATAATATTAATAATAATAATAATAATAATAATAATAATGCAGCTGTGGTTGAATGAAAGGAAATTTAAATTGATGCCTCTGAAAATTGTTTTGGACAGCTATCCCAATAAGATATTTTTAAGGTTGATAGATGGAGTAAAATAGTGGTGGTTGACTTTCTCTTCTTTTTCTAATGTAAAGAGGAAATTTAGGAGTGATAAAATTGTTATATTGTCACAAAGCAGCAAATCTGTTGCATGACGATTTTCCAAAGAATATACTTCAAACTATCTTGAGGCTGATATATAACCAAGAAACAGAAGGGACATATTTCCTTCATAAAAGTAATCCTCGACTTTAGTTCTGATCTCACTAACATCATTTTGCTCATCACAGCACTGGCAGTCAGATAAGGAGGAAAACAATATACAAAAACAGAGGAAGGGAGGTGAGTGCGTTGTATTGCAATCAGCCATGATACCCTCCTAAAAAGATGCTCTTTTGTTCCTCTAATGGAAGTAATGGTCCCTGTGTTGATGAAATTCATCTGGAGCCCCTAACGTTGCTGTGAGTGAGCTTGTAGGGCTTCTTCACCGGTCCTGCTAACCTAAGCACATAAATAGAATTATCTGGAGCTGCTTCTTGTCGGTCACTCCTGTGAAGGTCTGTGGATATAAATGGAAAGTAAGAAGAGTGGTGCAACCTGATGCATATGTTTTATTGGTCCATTGGCTTTTAGTGTTCACTGAAGTCATTGAGGTCTCTGCTTGAAAATTGTTGCTGCAGTAAAATCTACTGACAGTTATGTGACTTAAAATGAAGGAGTTCAAATGAAAGAGAAGTGATAATTTTATATGCTGCCAGTATCTCAGAAGGAATTAGCACAAGCATGTAGAAGTATTTCATAAGAGAGAGATGCCATGAATGGATGATGGTAGCTTATGCTTCCTGGAGGCCCTACTCAAGAGAAAATTAGATGCAGGATTCCTGAAGAGTTAAAAAAAAAAAAAAAAAAGCTGTGAAGAACTTAAAAAAACAATTTTTTTCTGCACATCTCCCAGTTTCTAATCCTCTTTGACAGCACAGTTACCAGGAATGCTTTTTTGATCTTCTATTTTTCAACTTAGTTGTTGGAAGCCATGAATGGATCTTAATGAAGAAGTTGCTAATTCAACATCTGTGGCCCTCTCCAACTGGCCAATTTTATGTCACACTGGCCACATAAGTATTGTAGTATATGTGGATGGATTGGGCACTTGGCCAAGTCCCTCCTGTCACCCTTAGGCTTTTTCTTCCCTATCTGAAGAACGTGGTGAAAAGAAGGAAACTGCACCTCAGTCTTGCCCCAAAGCTGAGCAAGGACATGAGTGAGACATGCACTTGAGCTCAACTATTTAGGAATATATAGCCCAGCATAGTGGAGAAAATACTGATTCCATCACCTGTGCCCATTAATATTACAAAGTACCCTGAGTATGATATAAAAATATCTGACAACAATTATTTTAAGTGTCCGCTCAGCAAATTTCCAAGTAATAGTCTTAAGAAGAGTTAAAAGTTAGATATATTCCTTACTGTATGCTGGTTAGTTTTTATATCAGAGCACAAGTACTTTCAGTCCTGCGAAGTCTTACTCATGAATGATCAGGCAGGAATCTTCTGTGATGCCATGAGAGTGCTGTGGACCACAGCAATTCATATATTCAGTATAAGACTATGAAAGTAGACTGTCAGGTATTAAATATGCTAAATATGCTGCTACGAGACAATTATTCCAGAGCTGCTCAGGGTGAAATGAGCACCTTGTCACCATAGGCACCTTTTTGCAGGAATG